ACTAAATTGCTATTATGACCCACCATTAGACCAGCAATTTAGAAAACACAAGACTAGATGCCCTCCAACACTTCCAACTCACCAGGTCTTTGGGATTCTGCCACTCCTTCCCAAAGTTCAGCCCTTTCAAGCTCAAGTCTCTGAGCACCACATCCCCGGCGCTTGCAGTCCTCAGCCTGCAGAAAGGACCGGTAAACAGCCCTGCACCTGGCCTCCATCAAGAGGATGCCGGTCCCTCCCCGCTGAATTCTCAGAGACAGAAATGAGGGTGTGGTCTCATCCTGCTGCCGACGACGAGAGACCCTCCTGCTCCAAGACTTGTTTTTCCTTTCATAGCAGCCCCTGTTGCCCTCCAAGCTCTGGCTTCATTCCCCTCCATCCCGCCCTCCCTGGATGCCATCCATTATAAGCCATTTGTTCCTAATTGTGGAGATCCTGCTAATGACTTCTGAATGGACGAAGGGGGGAGGAGAGTTCGCCTTCATTAGCAAGACAGTTCTTGGGCTGGAGGGGGAGAGGCAGGCGGTGGGAGGGGCTCTAGGCTGGGGGGAGGGTCTGATGAGCGTGTCCTGCCAGGTGGCATTAGACAAAACCAGGAGCTGCCAGGGAAGGTGGCAGATTAATAGTAAAGACAAAAGTTAGTGTCCATTCCAGACCTACTGGGTGCCAGGCACTGTGCTAAGTCCTCCACGAGCCTCCTGTACTCTTCACAACAGCCCTGGGAACCAAGGGCAGGGTTATCCCTACTTTGCAGAGGAAGAAACCGAGGCTCAGAGAGGTACCTTACCCAAGGTCACACAGTATATCGTGGAGCCAGGACTTGGATCCAGATCTCTGACCAGGGTCCATGAACTGAATGGCCTAGTCCTGCCTCCTTTGAAGGAAAATTGGACTTTATCCCCCAAACCACAGAGCTGGAGATGAAGTTTTGAGTCCAAGGGGGTAGAGAGAGGGAATTTAAGAGGACTGATGACTCCCAGTTTGCCATTCTGCCCCGAGCCCCCACCCCCGTTCCCTCCCTCCTCCTAGGGTTTCTTTGATGGCTTCTCCTTGGTGTGGGATACTAAATGCCTTTTCCCACCCCAGGTTGTATTTGGGTGTCTCTGGCCCTCAGGGAAAGGACATTGAGCTCAGCTTTCTGAAGATTCCTGTCTTGGTCTTGTCTGCCTGCCTGCACCAGCCTTACCTGCCCTTCACCCCTAGACAGCTGAAAGCACCCAGGCTCGGGGAGAACAGAGTCACAGGCCTCGAGGGACCATGCACAAGCTCCTGAAGGCCCGGCAGGGGGTTGGGGGGCTGGGCAGTCAGAGGTGTCCACTCCATTTCCTGCCCATAGGACCTTGGGTCTCAGTTTCCTTGTCTGGAAGATGAAGACCATGACACGGGCCCTGCCTCCCTCAAGGTGGTGAAGCTTCAACAAGATGTAGCCCTATACAAACACCAGCTCTTGAACTCTGTCCACCTGGCCTGCCTCCCCTATTCAGCCTAGACCAAAGTGCATTGCACAAATGAGTCTGCTGTCTGCTGCTGGCCGGGGAGGGAGCTCACAGATGCATTTGACAACATCTGTGTTTTCAAGGGGGCTGTGACCTGGTCAGCATAATCAGAGAAAGTGGGGCTGGCTCGGTCGGGGTGGGGACCACCATCACCCATGTCTCTCAGCAGTGGGCAGGCTGGTGATGTAATCAGGCCCCAGGGCCAGCAGCTGGTGTAGATGAGGCCTGGTGTGTCAGAGTGGTGGATGGGACTCAGGTGGGGCTTCAGGAAGTCTCTGACCTACCTGATCCCTTGGGTGACCCACCCTGGAGGAGGGCATCCTGGGCCAGAGGGACCCCCTCGCTCCCAGAGTGCTGTCCCCAGCTGTGGGTCTGGATGTGTGGACATTGGTGTGGAGTGGGGAATGGAGCAGCACTGGAGTATGCTGGGACAGGGTCATGTCCAGGCCATCCAGGGAGGGGAGCTTGGACTCCAGGTCCAGGGTCTGCCTATCACCCTTACTCCTGGGCACCCACAGCATGATTTTTCGGTGGTACCCAAACCACTCTAAATTGGGTCAGGGCTGAGCTCTAAGCAAATGACACAAAATGACCTTGGTTTGTCCACTGTCACCTCCCTGTCGTCTCTAAGCACAGGGCCTGTGCATGGTGGGCAGCCGTACATGTAAGTGAACAAATGAAGGAATGAAGGAATGAAGTGCCTGCAGGCCCCTGTGGGCTCCTCCAGCTTCTCCTGCTGCCAGCCTGGGAATGGTTTCAAGGTCCCTGGACTTGTTGGGCCATTTCACTCCTCTGTGCAGTGGGGGTCGCTGTGCCAGGAACACACTTCAGCCTCCTGGCCCACTGGTCCACCTGAGGACCTCGCCCCTCAGGACTCCGGTCAGGGGCAGCGAGCGCCGCCACCTTCTCTGGGCTCTGCCGCCTGGTGCTCGCCTGCGCTCCAGCTCTGAGGGGCCTCTGATGGGTCCCGCAGCTCTGCAGCCATGAGTCCTGGGGCAGGCCAGGTTCTGTGTGTGTGTCTGTGTGTCTCAGCACCCAGCACAGCCCCTAGCACACAGCAGGCGCTCAGTAATGTGAAGGAAGAAGTGAGTGGGGGCTGTCTCAGGAGGGTCCAGCCTTGGCTGGGCTCCCTGTCACTTGGCCTGCTGGGGAGGTAAGGCCCAGAGTGGGAGGAGGGCAGGCGGGTGAGTAAAGGATCCATCACAGATTAAGACTATAAGGCCTGTCATTTTTTCCTGTAAATCTTGTAATTTCGTGCTCCAGGGGACCACAAAGTAAGAGAGTCTGCAGGAAGTGAATCCAGCTCCCCGGGCCCCTCCCCCCAACTTCCCCTGGAAACCACTCCCCTGGGTCACCTGGGCTGGCCAGCTTCTCCAAGCCTTTTTCTTCCCCCCAGCTCGCCCCCTGACCTCTGGCCCCCTACCTCTTTACCCCACATCTCCACCTTTGGAGGACAAGGAGCATGTGTCTGACTCATTAGACCTGGAGGGGGTCGCTCAAGCACCGAGAGGCAGGGGCTCCTTCCTGATGACCACGTGGCCACCTCCCTTCCTTCCCTCACCGCCTCTCCCCCTTGCCATAGCTTCTCAGAGCCCTTTGACTCAGAGAGGTCAGATTTCTACTTTCTGAAGTGAATCTTGGAGAAGAAACCCCAGGCCACTTGTCCAGGGGAAGAAAGAGGGGCTGGGGAAGGCCTAGGATCTGGGGGGGGTGGTGAGGGGCACGCTCGTGAGCTCCAGGTCTTCTGGGGGCCACATGCCCGCAGATACACCAGGGAATATTTGGAGACCATGCTAAGGGAAGCTAGGTTCAAGGCTGGGGGCGGCTTGGCTATTTGATGGCAGTGAAGAACGGGCTTCGAAGGGCATGTGCGTACATGCAGTGGGCACTCGTGAGCGTTTGCCGGGTGGTGAGTGTGTATGAGTGCATCCATGTTGCACCGCACAAGGTTTTGCCTTGTTGGTGCTTGTGGTGAGGTCAGAGAACAGAAGCCCATGTGAGGACAAACACGTGTGTGTGTGTGTGTGTGTGTGTGTGGACAGAGGTGAGGGAGCCGCAATGAGCACGCTTCATTACATAGGTACACCAGGCAGGAGGCCGTGCTGTCCACCGGCTGGCTGAGCCGATGGAGAGAACCCACATTCCCAAGAAGGGAAGGGAATGGACACTTCTCAATGCCACCTTGGTGCCAAGCTTGGGTCCTTTCGTCCCCCTGGTGTTTCAGAGATGGGTAGTGTTCCGGGTTTGCAGAAGAGAGTGAAGCACAGGGAGAGCATAACGTGCCCAAGGTCATACTGCTGGTCAGCAGCACAACTGGGATTCAAACCCAGGCATATCTGATGCCAGAGCCCCCTGCCAGAGGCCTGGAGGCAACTGCCTGGGGTGCCGAAGGAGATCTTTGCAGAACATGGGAGAAGACAGGTTTTGTGCTCCTGGAATGTGGATTCAGGACAGGTCCCCACATCCCCTGCCTCTGAACCCCACACTGACCCAGAGTGGGGTGATGGAGGGCTTGGCCGTCCTTACGGAGAACTTTCTGGGCCTCCCTCCCTGACCCCCCACTCTCCCACCAGACCTCTCAGTGCTCACCTTCCAGGCTCATGGATGGGCTGGAGCTGCTCCCCCTGCAAACTCCACATGCCTCCCACTGCTACGACCCTGCTGACTCCGAGTCCAGTCCAAGCCACTGGGGCCTCTGAGCCCAGACCACCACAGTGAGGTCGGAGTTACTCACCGGAGGTTCAGACACACCCTTGAGGACTTGACCGAACTCCCCCGTACCATGAGGCCCTACACCCAGTTCCCTAGACTCAGAAAGTCACACAATGCTCAGACCCTGACACTCCACCCTCATCCCCCTCAGCTGGGTGCAGTGACTCCAAGTGAATGCTGCTCCCTTTGCTTCCAGACCAGCCACCCGGCCGAGGCTTCCTGGGCTCAGATCCTCTCTCTGACACCTCCTGGCTGTGTGATCCTGGGCTGGTTACTTTACCTCCTGGAGACTGTTTCCTCAGCTGTAGAATGAAACTGATAACCTCTACCTCACAGCCTCACAGGAAGGAGTCAATGAGATCTTGTGTGTAAAGGGCCTGACGCATAGTAAATGCTCAGCAAGTAGTACCTAGTATTAGTACCTGGAGTCCATCTGCTGTACTTTCCCCTGGGATCCTTTGTGGCCACTGTCCCTTCCATTTGCTGCCCCCATTAAGTCCCAACAAAACCTCTCAGGTCCCAGAGTGAGGCCCCTGTAGGCTCTGATCCCCACACCCTGGCAGCTCCTACATTTAGGCTTACTGCCAAGTCCAAGTGGGCCCTGTGATCCTCTCACTCACCCCCAAGACTTTCCACCTTAGTCTGGCCTCCTCCCCCTTACTGCCCCCAGACTCTCCCTAAAACCTGGGTGCTGCACTGTCCCTGACGACCCCTGCCTCCTCCAGGCCCTTCAGGCCATTGTTGGAGCAGGTAGGCCCTGCGCTGACAGCTGACCAGGCCCCTCTCTTGCAGGCTCTCCAGGTGGCCAGGCAGTTCCTGCTGCAGCAGGCCTCCGGCCTGAGCTCCCCGGGCAACAATGACAGCAAGCAGTCGGCCTCTGCTGTGCAGGTGAGGAGGAGGGCAGGGGAGGCCGGGTGGGGGGGGGGGCTTGGCCCCGGAGACGGGCCCGCTGGAGGATGGCTCTGGCCAGTCCCCAGTGCCACAAAGTAGGCAGCTTTCCAGAAGCAAATACAGTCAGTGCAGGGATGGGGTGAAGAAACTTCACTTTCTCTTGTCTCCACCTGATCGCCCAGGCCTTCCTGTGCTCAGCGTCTTTGTGTGTGTGGCTCAGAGTGTGTGTCTGCGCTCAGCTCTCGCCCTCTCTGGGTACCTCCCGCTTGCTTCCCTTCCCTGGCTCTGCGCTCTGGGGCCCCGTCCCTTCTCAGGTTTCTGTTTCTGCATCCCCGTGGGTCACTTGGTCTGTCCCTTTCTCCCGGGCTCTTTCTTAGATGCTGAGGTCACCACATGCCTCCTCCCCACCTCTCATTCACCAACTCTGTCTCCCCCAGTTTCCTGTCTCTTGGTGTCTCTCTGTCTCTTTTGTTTTCCTTTGCACAATCTGCCCTTCTTTCCCCCTTTCCCTTCCCCCAGCTTGCCGGCCCATCTGGCTGGCTGGGGGGAGGGGAGATCTGTGGGAGGTGGGGGGGTGGGGAAGCCAGGCCTTCTGTTTACCTTTTGTGTCACAAAGAACTTGGGAGAATTGCGGTCTGAGTCGGGTGGGTCACGATCCGGGCAGCCAGCTCCCCTCCCCCTGGGCCATGCAGCCCTCCTTCCTCGCTTCCCCACCCCTCCCCACAGCAGCAGGGGAGGCTCGGAATTGGGGAGAGGATTAAGCAGGGCTTTGAAAGGAAGTTTATCTAGGGGAGGAAGGGTGAGCCCGATCCTGAGCGAGAAGCTTTGGAGTTTGTGGGGGTGGAGTGCTGAGGGAAGGAGGGAAATGAAGAGCACAGCAGGGGATGAGGTGCTGGGTGCTCCGAGAAGGACCCGGGACTAGGCTCTGCCCTGGGGTGGGGCGGGGGAGTGGCAGATTCCAGACTCGGAGGAGTATCTGAGTCCTATGTCAAACAAGCTTATGTTTGGAAAATGGTTTGAAGACGTTCAAGGTGACTGACGGATGTGGGGCCTGAGCAGTGGCCCTCTTTTAGAAGTCTTGAACCTATTGAGACAGCCCTCAAGGAGGAGGAGTTGGACCAGAATGGGTAGTGGTCTGGATGGAGAAGTGAGAACCGAATCCAGAAGGTTAATAATTGGAAGAAGAGAAAGTTCTCGCGCTGGACAGATGTAGAAGGTTCGCATGCCCATGTGGTGTCAGGACTGAGCCTCTTGGAATTAGGGATCCCCCCACGCCCCCATCTCCCCTGGGTCTGAAATGGCTCTCAGGCTACTGCCCTGAGTCGTCCTCACCTTGGGCCAGGCCCCACACCCCCTTCTAAGAGCAGGGAGCAGCGTTCCTGTTCCCCCAGCAAGAGAGGGCCTGCTGACCCAAGGCAGGAGGGCAGGAGCTTGATGGTAGTTGGAGGGGCTTAGGTCAGGCATCAGGAAGGACTTTACAGCTGGCTGTGAGGGGTAGGAAGTCTGAAATAATTGAGAAGGGGAGGGAGGCTACGGAATCTTCCTCAGGAGAGTCCCTCACCCAAAATGAGATCAGCCCTGGACGGCTTAGAGTGAGAGGCGGAGGCTTTGGTCAGAGAGACAGAGCAGATGATCCTTTTCTCAGGCCTCGTCTCTCCTTGCTTCCCCCTCCGAGTCATTGCCTGATTCATCCATTCATCAAATACTTGCTCAGTACTAATGAAACTAACAGCATTCACAGAGTGCTTACCATGGGGCAGACGCTAAGCGCTTTACAAGTGTCATTTGTCTCCCTTTACCCTCACAATCCTGTGGGGTCTGGCAATGCTATTATTAGCCTCATCTTGTGGATGAGGAGACCTTGGCCCAGATAGGTTAGGTCACTTGTCCAGAGTCACACAGCTAATAAGGGACAGAGCCAGGATTTGACCCCAAACAACTAGCTCCAGAATTTAGACTTGAATGCCTACACTGTGCACAGCAGTGAACACCAGTAGTCCCCAGGTGCAGAGCCCCGGCCGGATGATGCTCTGCGTTCAGGGAGATGGGGTTCATGGGGCCGTGTCTGAACTTCCCCAGGAGCCTGGTGCTCCGACTGTTGACCCTCTTCCTCTTCCAACTCTGGATTCCTTCCTTGCCTCTCATCCCCATCTTTGGTTCACAGTCTCTAAGGAGGTGGAGATTCTGTCCCTGAGTGGGGCCCAGGGCCTACAAATTGCTTCTCTGTGAATAAAGTGGTTAATGAAGAAAGATAGATGGCCACTCATTTCTGGTGACACTGCTCTGCTCCCCAATGCAAGGCAGGATTGACTGCCTCACCTCCCAACTGTGTTCACCACCCCTCTCCTGGAGCTAGCTTCAGAAGTTTCTAGAACCATGTTAGTCTCCAGCTGCAGCCTGGAGTTGGCCTAGTTTGTGCCCAGGCCTGCGCCCCAGGCAGGGAGAGGTCAGTTAAAGAAGGCAGCAAAGGTAGCTGGGAGTTTTAGGGGGCAGAAGGGACAATGGCTAGGGCCAGGGCCCTTAGCTCTGCCCAGCATCCATAGCATCTTCTCAGTGCCCCTGAGGCTGACCCCTCCAGGATTTCTGGAAATTCGTCTTGGTGCCCCATCACTTCTTTCTTGCTGCAGCCCCAGCCCAAAACTAGTCTGAGGACTTCCTTCTGGTCTTCTATAAGGGAGTTTAACCTAAACCAAGCTCTGGCCTGGTCTCCCCACTTGAGCCAAGACCCTAGACCCCACTTCAGAGTTTGAGTTTGGGTCCTTGATTCTGGCACCAAATTGCATCCGTGGGGTGCTCAGCCTCCCCACCCTCAGCCCCCGGACAAGCTTTCTCTCTGTAAGCTGCCACCCAGCCCAGCACACTGTACTCATGGTGGGTGGAGGACCCAGGGGCCTGGGCAGGGTCCCTGAGGGAGGGCCTGGAGGCAGCTGTGGGCATTCAGCCCATGGCTCACACTGCTTTTAGTAAGCATTTAGCTGCCTTGGCCACCCTCCAGACAGTGACTCACGGGCCTTGCTGAGCTGACAAGCTGACAGTGTCTATCCTGGCACATCCTAGAGGGGTCAGCGGGGACACCAGGGGAGCTCCAGCTCAGTTCTCAGAACCCTAAGGGGCGTGGGGGGATGGGGTCAGCCAGCTCAGGAGCTCAGCATGCAGCAGCCACCTCCCTGACCTTTCTTGACCCCCTGGGCCCCGGTGGACAAGTACACACCAGGTAATCCGTCCGCAGCTCTGCAGCCGCCTCTCCGGCCAGCTGTTCGGCCAATTGGCAGGAATGGCGGGGGCCAGGGAGGCCTTCCAAGGTCATCTCTTCCATTCCTCTGTGTCCAAGTAGGAAAGCCCCAAGGAAGGAAATGCCACATCCTTTTTTGCATGCCACTCACCGTGACTCACAGCCCTATGGCTGGAAAGATCCCCGGGTGTCTGGTCTGTCTCCCTGCCTGGGCCGTGTCCATCTCTAGTTCAGTCCTCCCAGGATGAGAAGGACAGGCCCTGGGCGCTGGTCCTCAGGGACCCCGGCCGGCCATGCGGTGCCTTCTGGGGTTGGGGAAGTCATGGAGACAGGAGAGGGAAAGGAGAAAAGAGAAGAGGAAAACCCAGAATGTTTTACAAAGAAGTTTTCTCTACATTTGCATAGAATTTAATGGCCTACAAATCACTTTCATTTACCCCTATTCCCACTGTCCCTTTGGGGACAGACCAGGTTATTTAAGTTCTGTAGGTCTCAGTTTTCTCATCTGTAAAACGGTAACAATGATTAGACCCACCTCCATTTGCTGTGAGGATTTAGCCAAATGCCTAAAGGCATGTAATTAGCAATTAGCGGTCTGGATGGAAAAGGTGAGGCGGGGGTGATTTCAAAGAGTAGTCCCTGTCACTGAGAAGAACCTAGGTCACCTGTCTCAGACATGCAGGACTCTGAGCTCTGTGCCACCATGGTGGGCACCCCCACAGGAGGAGGAGAACAGAAAGGACAGCTGAGCCGCGCCTCCCAGTCTCGGGGGCGCCCAGCAAGGGACGCAGGCTGGCTTCGCAAGGGGTGTGGGTCTGTGCCACTGTCTGCCCCCTCGCCCAGGCCCCTCCGAGAGTGAGAACCAGAAGACCCCCTACAGCCTGGCTTTCCTGAGTCTCCTCCAGATACAGTTGTAAAAAGGAGCTTCGCCTTTGGATCTCCAGCCTCCTCCACCCCTCCGCTCCCTGGATAATTCAGTTTCCACCCACACTTCCTAACCTTCCTCAAGATCTGCTCCGAGGTAGGGAAGGCAGTGTGGACAGGGAAACCACCAGGAGCCATGGAGTTAGTTCACAGACCCGGGCTTGAATCCCAATGCTGCCATTTAAGGCTCCTCATTAGAGGCCCCTGGGAGCCTTCATTCACACAGAGCGTTCACTGCTAAAGAGCTAGGCTTGCCCCTCCCAGGGCTGTTGGCACAGAGCTGGCTGGGATAAAGGAGAAAAGCCCAGGGCTGGGGCTCAGCCACAAGTTATCGGGGTGGGGCGTAAGAAGAATTGGGGGCACTGGGGCTTCCCCCGATGTCCCTGGGTCCGCTACACTTCCCCCGCTGCTCTTCTGCCAGGGGATTCCCTAACTGGTGGCTTGAGGCTGAGTCCTGCCCCTGGCAGGGATCTGGAAGGGCACCAGCTCCTCCTCCCCTGCCCAACAACCCATGAGGCTAGGGGGAGGTGACAGGGGCCACAAGTCCCCTGAGGACATAACCTGTCACATCCTGCCCAGGACAAGTCCCTGCAGGATACTCCTCCCTGACTAGGCTGCCCGAACCCCTCCCTCCCCACCCCTGGGCTGGCAGAGGGGCCTCTGATCTGCTGGGGAAGGTATTTCAGCTCAGCAGAGCAAACAGAGTGCCTGCTGTGTGTGGGAAGCGGGGGCGGGGGGTGCTTCTAGGGTTTGGCAGTGGGAGGGGGAGATGAGACAAGCCAGGCTCCGAGCCCCATCAGGGCACCTGTCCTGCCAAAACAGCGGGACAAGACAGTGTTGCAACTGGGGCCTCCCTGGCTATGAGCGCCCAAAGCCCGGGGATTTCGGGGAGGTGGGGCAGAGAAAAGAATGATGTTCTTGCTTTTCCAGGAACCTTTTGCTGGTAGCTAGGTTCTCTGAGCCTCCTCCAGAGGCCCAAGCCAGGGCAGGGGATAGAGAGCTGCTCCAGTCTGAGAATCCTGCATGTTCCTGCCAGAAGGCGTCATCTCTCTCGTAGTTCAGTGCCTGGTTTAGGCTTTGAGGAAACTGACACCCCAGAGACAGCAAGTGACTTGCCTGGAGGGCACACAGCAAATTCGGTCCAGAGCTTGGAGTAGCAGCCTACCTCCTGACTCCCTGCCTGGTGTTCTTTTCCAGCCTGCTTTGGCTTGACTAATACACCCAGGCGGGCACTCGCTGGGTCAGCTCTGGCCTCTGTGTGTGCCCTCCAGACAGCCGTGCCACAGTATGTGATGTGTATGGGATCAGAGCCAAAGTCCAGGTCCTCATGCCATGTGGGCCGCAGACTGCCCTCTGGCCAGGCCCACCTTGGAGATCGGGCTCTTGGAACAGACCGAGCAAGAGCTGGGGATGGCTAGGTGTGGCCCGTCCCCATCACTGGGGGAGAAAACCTGCAAGGCATGGCTATGGGTTCTACCGACTGGTGTCACTGGGGTCTGCTCTTGGTGCTCTGGATAAAGGGCCTCCTGCGGTAACAGCCCACCCTCATGGGCACCTGCTGTGTACCCGGCTCTGTTCTCAGTATCAGTTCATTAATCCTCATGAGAGCCCTTAAGAAGTGGGCGCTGCTCTACTTCCCTTCAGAGACAAGGACATGGAGAACAGGGCGGTAAATCACTTGTCCAAAGACACACAGCTCGTAGGTGGCAGAGCCAGAATTTGAACCCATGCCGTCTCCCTCCAGTCCACGCTGCCATACTGTGGGTGGGAGCGCGGGGAGCAGGCTAATGGGGCCCAATCCCACAGGTGCCTGTGTCGGTGGCCATGATGTCGCCGCAGATGCTTACCCCCCAACAGATGCAGCAGATCCTGTCGCCCCCACAGCTGCAGGCCTTGCTCCAGCAGCAACAGGCACTCATGCTGCAGCAGGTGAGTCTGGCCCCAGGGCAGCTGGGAGGTCCTGGCCTCCCATCTCCCACCCTGTTTACTGCCAACATCCCTGCTGGCCAAAGCCGGGGCAGAAACTTGAGAGACTGCTCGGGCTGGATTGATCTGCATTCCTCCAGGGCAGCTGGGGAAAGGTCAGGGGTCAGGCCTCTCCCACAGCAGCACCCCCATGCTCCCCCTCTTGCCGGCCCCACCTCTGTATCCAGAACCCCAGGGAAGGGCAAAGCACTGGAACATCCTGGCACCTCGTCCTGATGTATTCAGGAGACCCAAAGAGAGGCAGGGAGGGCTCAGAGCTGTGGGGTGAAGCCCCCTCTCCCTTCTCCACTCCCTCCCCATCCAGGCCCTGCTGGGGACCCTCAGAGCAGACTGAGGAGAGCAGGCATCTCCCCACGGGGTATCTCTTTCATCACCCCAGTGAGACTTCCCTACTTCTGCCTCCAGGAGCCCCATAACGACAGGGCTGGGGTTGTTCTGGGGTCCGCAGTCCCCGGCACATGGTAACCCACTCCCCCCCCGCCCCCCTCCACCTCCCACCCAGCTGCAGGAATACTATAAGAAGCAGCAAGAGCAGCTCCACTTACAGCTCCTCACCCAACAGCAGGCTGGGAAGCAGCAACCCAAAGAGGTAAGGGCTTAGACAGGCCTGATGTGCCCCCTCAAAGGCATCCCGCAGTGGCCAGGAGAGAATTGCCTTGTGGGAATAGGAGACAGATCAGGAAGTGCTGGGAGGGAATCATGGGGCAGGGGGGGAATGGGAACGGGGTGGGGGCGCTGCACACAGTTCTCCGTGCCCTCATCCCCACTCCGTCCTTCTCTCCTTGCCTCGTGTTGTCGGATTAATGAGAACGGGCATCTGGTGGCCCTTGCTCGTGACCAGCTGCCTTGTCTGGCCCTTTCCTGCCCACTTGTCTCTTAGTGACTTAGCACTTCAGCGCCCCCCCCCGTTTGCTAGTCCCTCAGCAAACCACTTGCACTGCTCCCCCCAACCCTGCCCCAACCTCTGCCACTTCTTGTAATATCCTGCCCTTCCCCTCCAGAGAACTCCCCAGCTTACATCCCGGGCCTCACCTGGGCCACAGTGCCTCCTGAGCTTCCATACCAGGCCCCTGGGCTCCCCCTCCATGTCCCAGACATGTGCCTCCCTCCTGCTGGCCAAACCACAGCCAAGTCCTGAGTTGCCTCTTCCCAGAAGGCTGCCCTGCTGACGCCCAGTCATTTCCCAACGCCCTCAGCCTCCCCCTCAAGGTCTTGTCATTGTTGCATTCCCTGCATTATCTCTAGGCTGGCTTTATTGAATAGCCAGCCCCCCACCCCCCACCCCCAGGGCAGGCAGGCAGCCAGCGACGTCCCTGCCTCCCGAGCACCCAGGACAGGCTTGGCTCCTGGGGCTCAGAAAAGACTTGCTGACGGGCTGACTTGTTAGTGCCTGTGTGAAGAACTGAAGGGGGCGGGGGGAGAGAGAGAGGGAGAGAGCAGAGCTCCAGACCTACAGCGAGCAAATGAGCAAGAGTGCGCCTGAACAGGAGAGCTGTGACTCTCCCCCAGGCCTGGGTCCCGATGACCAGCTGATGCTGATCTTTTAAGGTCCCGTCAGACTCTTTGATTCCCTGTATCTAAGAAGCAGGAGAAGAGAGGAGCTGGAGGGGGTAGGCCCCCTCCTCAGCACAGAAGGGGGGCACCCAGGCATGTGGGAAGGGTGCCCGCCAGGCGGGAGTGGCCCCCGGAGTCTGACAGGCTCATCGATCATTGTGATGAGAGCCCCCCCCTTTTCCAGGCGAGCACAGCTGCGGTGCGGGGAGCTGAGGCAGCGGAAGGAGGGGGGCGGGAGCAGGAGGGCGTCGTGCTGAGCGTCTGGGTCCGCTGTGTGTGTGTGTGCGCGTGCGCGCACGCGCGTGCGTGCGTGCGTGCGTGTGTTTACTGCAAGGAGGCATGCAGCCCTATGGAAGCTGGGCCGGGAGCAGAGAGGCTGCAGCCGCGGACGCCACTACGACAGCTCCGGGGCCTGACAGGCCCTGGGAGGGGGTGGCCGCAGGGTGGGGGCCAGAGGGCGTGCCAGAGGCTGATGGCACCCCTCTCTGCCCGCCCCCTCGGGCCCCCCACCAGGCACTGGGGAACAAGCAGCTGGCCTTCCAGCAGCAGCTCCTGCAAATGCAACAGTTGCAGCAGCAGCACCTGCTCAACCTGCAGAGACAGGGGCTGGTCAGCCTGCAGCCCAGCCAAGCCTCAGGGCCCCTCCAGACCCTCCCGCAAGGTGAGTACCCCCCCCCCCCCCCCCCCACCAGCCCAGACCCGGCCTGCAACCCCCTCCCCCCTTCCCCACCCTCCCCCCAGCTGGGAGGCCCCGTGGGTTCCTGAGGCCCCGCCAGCCTCCTGCCTCTCTCTCCTGCAGCAGCCGTGTGCCCGACGGACCTGCCCCAGCTGTGGAAGGGCGAGGGTGCCCCCGGGCAGCCCGCCGAGGACAGCGTCAAGCAGGAGGGGCTGGACCTCACCGGCTCAGCCACCACCGCTACCTCGTTTGCCGCCCCCCCCAAAGTCTCACCCCCCCTCTCCCACCACACCCTGCCCAACGGACAGCCCACTGTGCTCACACCTCGGAGAGACAGGTGCGGAGCCCAGGCGGGGAGAGGGCACTGCAGACCTGCCCAGGGGCACCCCGGGACCCCAAGGGATGGCACCCGTGGTGAGGGATGGCAGGGGGAGGCGGAGCTCGGGGACCCGGAAGTTTACACTTCTCCCAGGGCACACAGAATTGTTTTCAGCCTCTGGGAAACCCATATTAGGGACAGAAACATCACCAGCAGGGGAACGGGGCCGAAGTGGCCCCAGGGCTGTTGGGGTCTTCAGGATCCCTGACCACTGCCTCCCTCTTGCTTTCCTAGCTCCTCCCACGAGGAGACGCCAGGCTCCCACCCCCTCTACGGACATGGAGAGTGTAAGTGGCCAGGCTGTGAGACACTGTGTGAAGACCTGGGCCAGTTTATTAAGTAAGTGTTGCCCCCACTCTCCATTCCCTGCCCCCCCAGCAGCCTTTCCACAGGGCCCCTCACCTCCCCAGCCGGCCACCTAGCTTGCCCCTCTTTGGTCCTTCAGCCACCAGCTGTCCTGCTGTCCTCACCCCTGGGGCGCCTAGCCTAGCTCCTTCCCTGCCCCCACCAGCTCCCCGATCCCCCCCATCTATTTTTGCAGGGACCTGCAGGCTCCATAAACCCCGTCCCCAGGCTGTTAGAGCCCCTCAGGGTGGGGGTGTGAGGCGCAGGAGAGGACACCCCTGCTGCCCTCCCCGGCTTCCCCCAGACTCAGCCCGGGAGACTGATGGCCGAGTGACAGGCCGTAGGCCGGTGGACAGGCAGGGCGGGAGGCGGCCAGCTGCCACAGCCGTGCCAGGCTCTGTCACTGACTGATTAACTCTGCTGTCTCCCAGACCCTTGCAGCATCAGGGTCAAACAAATTGTTTTCACGCTTCGTCAGAGGTTTACTTAATTAGTTCATTTGCAATTAGATCTCTCTGTAGCCGGGATTTTAGCAAAGACATCAAAGGAGGCTGACGAGAAGGCAGCTTCCTTCGTTGCCCCATTGCCCCGGTTTTTTTGTTTTGTTTTGTTTTGTTTTTTCCCCCCACCTCTTTCCCTTTGTATCTCTTGGTCTGTCTGCTTTCCAGGCTGTGGGCGGGATGGGAGGGTGGTGGCTGCAGGCAAAGTAGGGCCAACTTCTCTTCTCTGCCCCCTCCTGCCCCGAAGACACCTCAACACAGAGCACGCCCTGGATGACCGGAGCACAGCCCAGTGCCGGGTGCAGATGCAGGTGGTACAGCAGCTGGAGATCCAGGTGCGGCTCTGAGGATGCTCGGGAGGGATGCGGGGAATGCCATCCCCTGCCCCACCCTCAGCACTGACTTTCCAGGAGGGGTTGAGAGGGTCTTGAGGATGGGTTGAGAGTCTTGATCTTATGCTTTCTTGCTCCTAAGTGCCAAGGTCGTGAGGTGATTGCAGTTAGATTCTCAGGAGCAAAGCAAGGCTGGGGGTGTATCTGCTGGGAGGCCCAGAAGAGCAGCATCCATATAAAAACCATAAAAATACCAACAGCTAACATACGGAGCACTTACTTGGTGCTGACTTAAATAGTTTACCTGTAGAATTCCAGGAGTCCTAAACAACAGTATATGGCAGATACTATTCTCATCCCCACTTTACAGATACGGAAAACTGATGCCCAGAGAGGTGAAGTGACTTGCTTCTGCTCACTCATCCTAGTGGGTGGCAGAGCCGGGATCAGAATCTCGGCTGTCTGGCTCCCGAGTCTACACCCTGTAGCACGTAGTACTCAGGACAGTCCGGCATTTCCCTCTGGCACCTAGCAGAGCGCCCTGCCATGAGAGGGTAGTTGTGAAAGACCTATTGAATTTATGAATGGGGGTGAATGAATCATTCATCCATTCCTGTGTTTCCATTCATTGCACGAGGACCCTCTCACACACAAGTGCCACTGAACTTGGGTGTTGTTCAGCCACAGCCTCTGCCTTCGATGGGAAGAAAAAGCATGTGTTGTTAGCAAGGGGGCCCCTGACCTGTAGCTCAGCAGCTTGCTGAGCTCGAGCCTGGGACGCACGGTCTGGAGGAGAAGTGGGGAGGGCTTCACGGAGCCGGCAACCCCAGGCCCTGGCCTTAAGGGTAGGAGGGGGCAGAGCAGAGCCGAGGCCTTCTGGGAGCAGGGGACAGAGGGAGCCAGGTGCTGACGTGTGGAGGAGAGGGGTGGTGGGAAGAGGGGCTTTCTTGGGTGTCTGGTGGGGGAGAGGTGGATGTGGAGGAGGAAGAGGACCGGACCCCTCAGGGGCTCAGCCCCTGCCCACATCCCGCCTCTCCACAGCTCGCCAAGGAGAGTGAGAGGCTGCAGGCCATGATGGCCCACCTGCACATGCGGCCCTCCGAGCCCAAGCCCTTCAGCCAGCCAGTGAGTGACTCTCCCCTCCCTGCGGCCCTCCCAGGACCCCTGGGACTCCCACCCTTGGCGCTGGTCTCAGCACCCTCCCCGTTGCTCACAGCTGAACCCGGTCCCCGGCTCCTCCTCATTCTCCAAGGTGACCATCTCTGCAGCAGACTCATTCCCAGATGGTCTCGTGCACCCCCCCACCTCGGCCGCTGCCCCTGTCACGCCCCTACGGCCCCCTGGCCTCAGCTCTGCCTCCCTGCACAGCGGGGGCCCCGCCCGCCGGAGGAGCAGTGACAAGTTCTGCTCCCCCATCTCCTCAGGTAAGGACTGCCAGGAGGGTCATCCCCTCCCCCCAGGCTGGACCCCCCACCCCCACCCCCGGTCCGGCTACCTCATCCTCTCCCTCTCTCCCCCAGAGCTGGCCCAGAATCATGAGTTCTACAAAAACGCTGACGTCAGGCCCCCCTTCACCTACGCCTCCCTCATCCGCCAGGTGAGCGTGGAAGGTAGACGGGGTGGGAAGGGAACCCAGGCTGCACCCCCACCTCAGTGTCCCGGCGTCCATGAGGGTCCTGGGGCCAGAGGAGAGACTTCCCCTCCCACACCTGTCCTCTCCCATGGGCACAAGGGCTTTCCTTCCCAGCTGGACAGCCTCTGGCCCAGGCTCTGTCTGAGTCCGTGCGTTGCTCGTGCAGGCGTCCCTCTGAGGGCACGCACGCTGGTTTTGCTGACCCACTGTGTCATTCATTCTCTCATTCCCATGTACGTACGCTCCTGGGAGACTATTTTCTGATAGACTTACGGTCAGTCTCAGTTGGCTGCCACCTGCCTGCCTGCCCCTCCTTTCCTCCCTCCCTGCCAACCCTCTCTCTCTCTCTCACACACACACACACACACCCCTCTGTTCCCTCACTCGCGTCCTTAATGCTCACGAATATTCATACGAATAGGCATTTGCACAGATGTGCTCTTGCTCTGACCTCCCGGGTAGGCACGCACATCCTCACACATTTCCCTATATATGCACACATACCCCACCTCATGCTTAGGGCGCCCTTTGCCAAAATCAGGATAAATTGCAAACAGCCCCTACCCCGTGGGTATCTCTCTCCAGAGAATACTGCTTCATTTTCCTTCCAGGGCAGGGGCCCTTGATGCCAGTTCCCCTCCAGAAGGAGTTCATGTGCTCCTTGCACAAATGCATAGCCCTTGAGGCTCGTGTTTCCTTCGGCCTCTGGCTGGGCCATAAGTAGCCTGCCCCACGCAGGGGATCGACGACACCCACCAGTCCTCCTGTCCATAAGCCTCTGTAGTGGGCATCCTCTGTTCTCAGGGCTGAGATTCGGGGGCCAGGCAGAAAGGAGAGAGCACAGGCCTGTGACCCTTCAAGGCCCAGACTGAGGGTCCCTCTGCTTCTTTCTGGCCCACAGGCCATTCTGGAAACCCCTGACAGGCAGCTGACCCTGAATGAGATCTACAACTGGTTCACCAGGATGTTCGCCTATTTCCGGAGAAACACTGCCACCTGGAAGGTGAGGCATGCTCCTTCCCCCTTGCCAAGGGCCCCAGTCACCCTCAGACATCTCCACATCTCCTTGAGACCAAGGCTGTGTCACATTTAGTCCCCTCAGAGGGACAGTTCTGCAGAAATGGCCCCAGTAGGGCCTGGGCCGCACCATGGGCCCCTCCACTCTCATCACGGACTATGGAACGTTCTCTAACTGCCCCTTAATAGCCCCTTCTTTCCAGCCTTGTGCTGCTGCCTTTCTGGCAAAAAACCCTCCCCTTCCCTGGAGCGCTGCCCCATAGGCCCCACGAAGTAGGGCCTCCAGAAGTCCGTAATGCCTGAGCCTGTTAGGCCTGGGTTACACTCTCAAGAGACCCTAAGGGTCTGGGTACTTTGGCTAAAGGTGCATGCTCTGTAGCCGGGGGGCGGCGTGGGCAGTGTGTAGGCGCGGACCCATGGACTGTGCAGTGGGACATAACCACAGGCACCCCTACCCTCTCCCCAGCTCTACCATGGCGGCAGGAAGATAATTGTCTCCGTCCAGTTAGTTGTTTCAACACCTTCAGCCATAGAGTTTTCTCAGGGGACCAGAGGCAAGGAAGGGAGGAACCCTAAAAAAATGGGACACAGAGATGTGGACTGGGGCACTCAGCCATTTGTTTTCCCATAGCCAAGATGGGAGGGGTGTGTGTGTTTGTGTGTCTGTCTGTCTGTCTGTCTGATGGGTAAGAATCTTAGTGTCTGTGCAGCAGAGTGGAAAGGGATATCTAAATTGGGAGGGGGTGGAGGGAAGGAGAAGGGAGTGTTGGCGCCCTGCGGGGAAGGTTAGACACCGGGGAAGGAGTCCTTAGCTCAGAACCTTAATTGGATCCCTGGCTCTTGAGTCCCCCTGCTGGCCAGCTCAGAAACTGCAGCAAAACAAGCTACCTCCCCCACCTCCCGGCCAGCTTTCAACAAGTGTCACTGAGGCCCCCTCCCCACCAGTGCCGGGCTGGGTGGGGTCTACACAGGGCCCAGTCGCCTCTGCACCGAAACGTGCTAACCGCAGCAGGACAGACTGCTCCACGACCTTTCCTATCCCCGCGCCGGGGAGAGAGGCTGCGAGGCTGGGGCAGCTACTCTGATTGGCTGTGAGTGATGTCATTTCCTGCCAGCGGGGTCCTGCCCTCTCCCTGAGCCAGCAGGGCCTTGCTGGGGCACTGGGTCCAGTCTCCAACCTTCCGGGCCAGTTTGGATACCAGGTTTTAGAAAGCGATAGAGTCCTCTGCAAACATAAGGGATCATTAAAGCTGTGACCTAATGGTTATGTTCATAACGCAGGTTAATCCTCTACCTGTAGGGGTGAGACTAGAGAGCCTTGTTTCCAAGACAGCTTCCTCCTCGGGGGCAGCGTGTCCCTCACCCACCTACCCTCCTTTCCTGTTCCCTCCTTTCTCGAGATCAGGAGGAGCTGGTTTGGGTGGGTGACTTAAACCCCTCGAGGACCGTCCTGAACCCCCTCCCGCTTAGCCGAGCCCCTTTGGCCTTCCATGCCACTCTCCGTGGTCACCCGGCCAGGGTCATCCCAGTGGTGTGTCTCTCACCCACCCCCCGGGTCTTCACCTCCACGTCCCCTCACCTCGTGTGGGTCCCGGTGCGACACTAGCTGAGTGAGCAGGTGACCTTCCTAGTGAGCAGCGCTCTCCCGTTTCTGCCACTTCCTCCCCGTGGCACAGCAGAATCTGTCTCAGCTTGAGGTCCACTTCGACCTTCAGGATTTTTGCAGCCAAGCTTCCTTCATGTTTCTTGGGAAACGTGCCGTGTCTACACCCAACCGTTCACCTTCCACCATCCGCTCATTTACCTGCCCCTTGAGGTCCCTCTTTTCCTCAACTCCTCCTCCTCCTTCCACCCTCCCTCTTCCACCCTCTGTGGCCCCCAGCCTGAGATGCTGTCCACTTCGGACCAGGGCAGAAGGGCTCGGGAGCCAGCGTGGGCCAGGCCAGCTGCCGTGCATCCAGGGACAGAGCTGCCATCTGCCAAGCTGATGGTCCTCACCAGCCCTCCCTCTGTGTCCGTCCCCTCCGGGGGCCCATGTTGTGGGCCCGTCCTTTTGTTTACGCAGCCCCCGCCAGACCCCTTAAATTGCCGTTAATGTTTCAGCGTAACGAATTAGTCTCTCATCACGAATCAGGCTTCGAAATGAGGGAAAAAAGCCCCGGTGAGGCCATCCTCGGAAATTGGGGTCATTCTCATTTGCAAAGCGGAGGATCAGAGCCCCGTAATGCGGGCAAATTTATTCCGAGGCAGGAGCCCCGGCGTGATTAGGCCCTTTGTAATTATCGCTCCAAGAGATTCCACTCCAGCCGCCCGCCTCCCTCGTGGATTAGCAAGCGAGTCGGAAAAATACACAGGATTTAATTAGAGGCAAATTAAAATTGGTAATGAAATCGGGCCAGTTGCAAGTGGCAAGAGTTGGAAGGGAGAGAGGAGGAGGGGCTCTCCAGGGGCACGGGCTGCCCGCCCCGCCGGCTTTCTTCCCCGTTTAGAAATGTAAAGAGGAGGCAAGGATGGGGGCGAGGCGGGGTAGGCCGAGAGAGGACAGGTAACAGGGACGGCTGACGGGGAGGGGCGGGGAGGGGCGTGACGCCGAGAGGGGAGTACAGAGACGCGCCTGAGGGACGTGGAGGGGGTGGGTGGGCGCGGGCCCTCATCTAGGCCCCCTGGGGGGAGTGGAGCCCAGCCCCCCCTCCTTACCCGAGTGTCCCACAATTCAGGTGGCCTCAATTCCTGAAGTCACCCTGCCAGGAGGAGGTGGGAGCGACAAGGTGACTTTCCCTCTTTTCTTTCCTCTTCCTGCCTCACCGCTACTAAACCCGTGCTCTTCTTTCTCCCAGTTTATTTCAACAAGTGTATATAAGAGGCCTGCTGTATACCTCATGTTCTTAAGCTGTCTCTTCTCGAAGCCATGGCTCCCATGTTCCTAGAGGCTGAAGAAGGTTACAGCGAGGGTTCCTGATTTATTTCCAAAACTTGTAAAGCCGAATGCACCTGAGATAACAGGTCCCGGCCTCGCTGATGGGCCAGGGCCCAAGTGGGCTCATGGCAACCAGGGGCCCCAAGTGACAGCTACGTGTGTCTGATCATTGCTGCCGGGGAAACAAACTCCTACCTGGATAGTGTTCAGTTGGCAGACAGTTTTCCAAAACACGGCAGGGAGAAGGGGAGCAGATCATAAAATGGGTTGTCAGCAATGAAGACCCTGGCGGTCCCTGGGTCCAGGGCAGGAGAGAGGCAGGGGGACTCCTCCCTGTAGCAGCCTGCGTGGCCTTGGGCCTGGGGAGGTGGGACGTGGTGGGACTGACTGTGGGACAGGGACTTTGCTGTGTGAGCTTGCCAGAGCGGGGAAGGGGCCGAGCAGGCTGCCTCTGAGCATGCGCCCTGTCACTACACCCCCAGAACGCTGTGCGGCACAACCTCAGCCTGCACAAGTGCTTTGTGCGCGTGGAGAACGTCAAGGGCGCCGTGTGGACTGTGGACGAACGCGAGTATCAGAAGCGGAGGCCACCAAAGATGACGGGGTATGTGGGCCTCGCCCTGAGCAGAGGCACTCACCTGCAGTGTGGACTGGGTCACCCCGGATTTCTCTCCAGGACACCCCTGTGTACCCGTCCTTCCCACTTTGGGGGTGAGGTGGGGAGAAGAGGGATGGAGGAACCCAGGGGAGCCCAGAATTTGGAAGTGATAGGTGATCAGACAGAGGACATTTATGTCTTCTTCTGTCCCTATTTCTGACTGAGGGAAGGAGCCTGAGGGCCTGGGACCACAGAGAGACGGAGACCCAAAGTAGCCGTGGTCGGAGCTGGGACATGGGCAGATGCCAGCTAGAAGACCTGGGTTCCAGTGCACCTCTGCTGCTCCCTGGCTGTGTGACCTTGGGCCAGTTCCTTAACCTCTCGTAGATGCTCTGTAAATAGAAGATGGGGGATTAATCCTTATGGAAGAGGGACAGCCTTGAGACATTGCTTTACCCGACCCAACTCCTGAACACCTTCCCATGCAGAAAAGCCTTTGGCGTGGAGCGCACGGGGACCAGCTGAGCGCATGGCTGTTAGATGTCCCAGAATTCAGGATGGCAAGATAGTGTGGGTATTACAGATGCGGGACTATCAGGGCTCTAGCTTGGACCTGCCGAACCCTGGAAACAGCAGAGAAAACCCGCTGGGGTGGCATGATGTGAAGACAGGTGTGGGGAGGGATCCCTGTTCCCCCTGCTCCAGAGCCCCGGAGAGCCTCAGCGCGGGGGCTGTGAAGGGGCTGTGCCCTGTCAGCGTAAGACTCAGCAGACAGTGCTCGCCCTGCCCTGGCCTCCTAGGATTGGGAATGGAACGGTCCCTGGCACAGAGCAGGGCCTAGTAAGGGTCGGGGCGCAAAGGAGGAGTAACGGAATGAAGGAACCAAACAGTGCCTCTCTGTCTTCCAGGAGCCCCACCCTGGTGAAGAACATGATCTCGGGCCTCAGTTACGGAGCACTTAATGCCAGCTACCAGGTGCGTGCACGCTGACCGGAGCCCTCTTCGTCTTGGGCCCTTGCTTCCCTGTCCGCACACACTGACCTTCCCCCACTCTCCCCTGCCAAGGGCCCCTCCGTCAGAGGGTGGGCCAAACCCCAGCCCTCTGCCCCAGCCCAGCTCCGGGCTCAGCCCCCACCTCTGGCTTTCAAGGCTGGGTTCAGGCGGGGCAGAGAGCAAGGAGGGAGGCTGGCGTAACCAATGGGGTCCCACTCCCCGGCTTGTCAGTCTCGGGGTCCTCTGCCTCCTGGGACGGGAAAGGTCAGGTCCAGGCTCCCAGGAAGGCTGGGAGGCGGCAGCGCGTCAGGGTCATGATCTGGCCTGGGAGGGCTGTGCTGTGTTGGCGAGGCCATCTGCACAGAGACCGCCGCCCCCCCCCAGCCCCCGAAGCTGGCTGGGGGCGGGGCAGGGACGCCCTGGACGTCAGCTCACCTGGGCCAACCCTGCGCCCTCCAGGCTGCGCTGGCCGAGAGCAGCTTCCCCCTCCTCAGCAGCCCCGGCGTGCTGAACCCGGGCTCCGCTGGCAGCCTCCTGCCCCTCAGCCACGATGAAGTGGGTGCCCCCGTGGAGCCGCTCCCCAGCAATGGCAGCAGCAGCCCCCCTCGCCTCTCCCCGCCCCAGTACAGGTGAGCAGGCGGCATGGAGCCCCCCCCAGTGCCCCCCAGATGCCCCTGCAGGTGGGACCCCCCCTCTTACCACCCCCCCCTACACACACACCTGTCTTCCCAGGACAAGTGACCTCTCTCTTTCCCCCTTCTCGTGGCACCTCTCCCTCCCCTCTCCCTTCTTATTCTCCTCCCTCTTCCCCCTTTCTATTCCCCTTTCCCGCAGCTTTCCTTCCTCTTCCTCTTCTCCTTCCTCCTCTCCCACTGTTGTCTCCTCCCCTACGGGGAGTCAACCTCTGTCCTTCCCAACCTCCCCCTTCGTCAGAGGAGAGCTCCTGGGGAGAGCAGACCTAAGACGTCAGGCCCCAGGTGCTCAGGGATGATGCGGTCCTGGGGAAGTGAGCTGGGAATAGCCCCCACTGTGCCCCCAAATTCTGGATGTTTTGGGGGGCCAGGGAAGGCCCCTGGGTTGCCCACACGATCGCTCCTGTCACAGCCACCAGGTGCAGGTGAAAGAGGAGCCGGCCGAGGCGGAGGAAGACAGGCGGCCGGGCCCTCCTCTGGGCCCCCCCAACCCCAGCACCGCGGGGCCTCCAGAAGACAGGGACCTGGAGGAGGAGCTGCCGGGAGAGGAACTGTCCTAAGGGCCTCTAGGGGCAGGCAGGGCAGGGGTGAGACCCCTCCCTCCGGAACCCAGGCCCCACCTACCCCCACTCCTCAGCCCCGCCCAAACCTCAAGGCACTTCCAGGACTCAGATGGGGGGGCTGGGCCAGCAACTCCCAATGTGACCTGACTGACAGACGCTCGGGGGCGGGGACGGCTCCGCCCCCGAGGGGACACAGAACCCCTGGTCTGGGACCGGCAGAGGACACGGAGGGCCCAGACCCTTCCTCAGACCCTCCCCTACATCTGAATACCACCTCCCCCCCCCAACCACCAGCAGCAGCAGGGCCCTCCTCCCCCACCAGCTCTCCCCTACAGGGCCCCTCAGCGCCATGGAGACCCGCAGGCGGGGCTAAGCCACCCCTCTGAAACCCAGGGCCCCTCGCACCTGGCTCTGGCAGTGTGTTCTGGCCAGAGGCCCCCCGCTTTCCTAATTTGTGCTCCCTTCCACCTTCTTTTCCGTACTGTGAAGAAATCTCCCGGCTGCCCGAACTCCCGACCCTGCCCCGGCCTAGGGCGGCGGAGCTGAAGTTTAAGACCATCCCCAGAAGAAACCGGCCCCCTCAGCTGCGCCCACTCAAAGGCCACAGCTGGGGCAGGACAAGTTGTGTGCCCTGTTGGGGGGTTGGTGGGAGCCAGGCTGTCCGGCTCCAGCCCCTGCCCCTGCCCTCAACCTGAGACAGAACCCAGGCTGAACCGGGCCTCTCTGCCCGCTTCACTGGGTGCTCCTCACCGGCCCCCCACAACCGGGAGCAGAGCAAGAGGCCCAGCGCCGGCCTCCTCACAGAGGTCCGTGCCAGGTGGACTAATGGAGGGGGGGGCCGCTGGAGGGAGCCACGCTGTCCTTGAAGCTGGAGCTGGGGTCAGAGGCACAGCCAGGGCCACCAGGAAGCATCCTGCCTCTGTCACAGGAGAGGCCAGGCTGAAACCAGGTTTGAGGGGCTGGTGGTTGCTGTGACCCTGACAGGTCACCCCCAGCCTACAGGTCCCCCATTGTAGTCCTCCCTCAGCAACCCTCCCTGACCCCTCTCCACCCCCCACCCCCCCAGTTAAACCGATGACCAAAGACCTTTCTTATGCCGGAAGCAAAAACCAAAACTTTTTGTTGGCTTTTTCCTTTGTCGCCTCCTGCATCCCCTGCTCCTCCTTGCTCCCCGACCCTGGCCCCAGGCTGGAAGCCCTCCCTCCACTTAAGTTATTGTTTTAAACCAAAGTTTACAGTGTCTGTTGGTGGCCCAGACCCTCTCTCCACCCTTCCTCCACCCCACCCCGAGGACCCTGGGACTCAGTAGAGGCTGGGGGCCCTGCTCACCCCCACTCTGCTCTCGGCCAGCCTGGAGGAAGGAAAGAGGGCAGAGGGAAGGAGGCGCACTGCCCTCAGCACCCCAAGGGGTTCTCCTCTCCTTGGGCAGTGGGCCTCAAGCCCTAGTCCCAACCCTGGGCTGCTTCCTAGGGGCTCTCCAGACCCCTTGCTAGGACCAAGTCCCCTATCACGCTGGGAGTGTGGATTCCAGCAAAGGAGCTGGAAAAAAAAAAAAAAAAAAAGTGAGACTCCACAGACCCCCTATGGGGGACCCCAACTTAGGCCAAGGACTGGGTGTGTTGGATGCTCATGATACCCCAGGCCAGGCCCCTTTGCTGAGAAGACTCCTTGGACTATTTCCCAAGAACCACCCCCCCACATATACCCCTTCCCAAGCCACCCCTCCTGAGAGGCAGGGGGCCCTCCGCCCCCTCCCCTATGTACTCCCCACCTGTGTTCTGTTTGACCAGCACAGAAATATTAAACGTCCTCTATTCACCGGGCCCTGTGTGTGTCACCAAGGTGAGGGGGGAAGGACACGAAAGTGGCAAGGTTGCTCTGGGGGGCTGAAGGCAGCAGGCCCCTGCAGACAGTGGGGGCTCCGTGAGGGCGCTTTCTGGGAGTGCATGAGTGGGCCAGGAGCAGCCCCCCTCCTGCCCACCTCTTCCACCGTCGCCCACGTTATCTGGTATATTTTCTCTCAAACCAGGTCTCGGGGTCATTCCGCTTTCTCCCCAAAGTTACAATTCCTTCTTGCCGGGCCCCGCCCCTTCCTGCAAGGGTGTGTTCAGCAGGGAGATTTCCTTCAGGGCTGGAGAGGGTTCTTTGTGCGGGGTCACCACCCCCGAAGACGTCTGGCTGCCTGCAGGCCCAGGTGCCTTTCTGGGCCCATCACGCTGTCTTCGCGGGGGGGCTACCTGGATAGGGGCGTGTGTATGCGCATGCGTGTGGGGATGGGGCTGTCAGTGGGTGCGCGCCTGCCGCCCAGTGTGGGGTCCGTGTCAGTACTGCCGGGCTCAGGGTCAGAAAAAGGGTTACTCTAAATGCGCGGGTAGGGGCACCCTGGACAGTTAGGCGAGAGAAGGAAGGGAGGAAACCTAAGCTGTTAAACCAAAGGTGTGTCCTGACACCTCCCTCAGCCTTGCATCCCCAGGCAATTCCTGGCCCCGCCCCAACGGGGGAGCCCCGCCCGCCTCAGTGTCCAGAGCCCATCAGCCACCAGCTTCATCTACCAGTTCCCTTCTTCCAGCACCTTGAGCACCTTCCAAACACTTCCTCCTCAAGGGCACGGCCCCCAGACCTCTGGGGCAGGGGCCCCCGGAAAGAATGTGTGTCCTGGGGGGGAAGCAGGGAGGTAGAGGGTGGGTGTGGAGAAAGCAACCCAGTTGGAATCAGTCACCCTTCCCCCAAATCACCAAACTGCTGGAACTTTCCAAAAACCAAACTTGGAGAGGGGGGAAAGGGGGCAGGATCTGAAAATGGGAGTTTTCGCTGACTTCTCTCAGAGCTGTCTTGTCCTTTCCTACTGCTTTCCATCATGATCTGTTATCTTCTGTGTCTCTCCCATTTCTCTGCCTCACCCCTGTCCACGCCACCTCCTCCGCCCACCCCGCCCTAATCCTCCAGACGCTTGCAGGGGCCTGGGGTGAATTCCTGGTTTCTCCTCAGGGCATCTCAGAGGGCCCAGCCAGGTCAGGCCTGGGGAGCTCGGCCTGGAGTCTGAGTACCCCCCAAGCCTCCACCCACAGGCTGGCCCTCCCTGCCCAGTGTGGAGGCTGCTGGCCCTTACAGAGCTAGTTGCACATCATCTGTGTGGACAGCAGCATCCCCTGCGATGTAATAAAACAATTACCAATGATTTCACTGCCGCCGCTTCCCCTGGGGGACACACCTGCCCCTTCCAAAGCCCCAAATCCAGAGGTGTTGCTGCCAAGCTCCCAGCTCCCTTACTCTGCCCTGGGAGAAGAAGATCTCTGGTCTACAGACTAGCCCCACAGACGTCCCTCCTGCACCAGAGACAACACCCAGCCTCGTTCTCATGACAGTCCTTCCAGCAGTCTAACTTCAGTCTCTCCTGCTTCAACGAGAGTTTTGGTTTTGGTCTTTGTTTTTAATTCCTTCCCCAGAGGTAGAGCAAATGTCTGGTCAGTGCACTTGGACATGGAGTGAGGATCTGCCTCGGGCTTTGACTGAGGAGGAGAGGAGTCTTGTAATATAAGCAACAGGAAACTGTTGTGGGCCACCACCTTCCAAGTACACCGGGCTTACAACTCCGTAACTCATTTTTCTTACTGATCTCACAGGTTCCTTGGGGGACCCCGTCCCATGACCTTCCTCTAAATAAGAACCAACCCCCTAAGCCCCCCCGTCATGTTTTGCTGTCCAGAAGTTCTGCCTACTGTCTCGTCTCTCCTTACTGCTGTGCCCGGGGATGGGGGCAGGTGGCTGCTGGTGCAGGCTGCAGCTTTTCCTGGTCTTAGCCTTTCTGCCTTGATGGGGAGAGGGAGGCTCTCCGCTGAACCTGTTCTCAGGCTGGCAAAAAAGGAGGGCTCCTCCAAGTCGGATATTTTGGGGGTGAGGGGGTAGCACTCTGGGCTCTGCACCGGACAGAAGTCCCCCTTCTCACATTTGGAAAGTTCTCTCCCTCTACCATTAACTGGTCACCCCCGCCCAAGGTCTTTTGCCAACGGCCAGCAGAGGGCGCTTTAGACAAAGCGGACCTTGGGCTCCTCCTTTGGGCGCAAGTGCCGGCCAGAGGAGAGGAGGGGTGTGGGGAGGAGGGTGAGAGTAGGAGGGGCTCAACCTCCTGTGAGAACTACAACCCTTCAGCCCACCGCCCAGGGCACAAAAGGGTTCCCTCTGCTGCCTGGGGGCTTCCCGGACCTCTCCAACACCGTGACCTAGGAAGCCTCCTGAACAGGAATGGTCTCGGGAAGGCAGGGGAAATGCTGAGAGTGATCTGGAAGGAAGTGGTCTCCCAAGACGAGTACAGCAGGCAGACGGGCTCAATAAACATGTTCGATGGTAATCATTGCTAACATTTAATGAGCTCTTCTTGTGCGGACACAGTTCTAGGCACTTTATCTTTCATGTCATCCTCACAACTCTGAGTCAGATGCCATCATTATCCCCACTTTACAGATGAGGAAGATGAGGCACAGGAACTGAAGAGGTTAACAGATAAAGCGTTAGGAATGAGGAACCTGTGGCTTACGGTGGGGAAACGGAAGAGGGAGGCTCAGTGGCTTAGTCTTAGCGTTGTAGCGACACTATTTACCTTGGCTTTTCCCCCCACCCCTTCTTGAAGACTTCCAATGGGGAAACTGAGGTAAAAGTGCCTCAGAGCCAGGGGCAAGGCCCTGGCTTCGGAGCTCCCCAGCGGCCATCCTCCTCTCGGCAGGATGAGGTAAGTCGGGGTTTGGAATCGTCACTGTGGGACAGAGGGAACTGGAGAGAGAAGGCTGGAACACCCTATAAAAACAAGCAAGCGGGGGCCTTCTGACGGAGCAGAGCGTCAGAGCGGCGGAGACAGAGAGGCCCTTGTCTGTCTGAGGTGGGGAATTCACAGGGACCACACACCAGCACACACCTGAGCCTGTGCTCAGACGCACACGGGCGCGCACACGTGCTGCTTGCTACTCGGGCTCTGTTTACACCCCGAGGTCTCTTCCAGCTTGGCAGCCCGCAATTAGCCTGTGGACACCCAGGGCAGGGACACAGAGCACGCGGTGGTCGCAGAGACATCCCATCACACAAGCCCAGGACCTCTCCACACCTGCAGTCGGCCTCCACCTCAGGATCAAAAGTTTAGAAAAACAGCCCCTCCCGAGAAGGTGGTCATGGTGGCAGCCTGGGCTGAAAGGCGCTCTGCCCTAGCCAGGAGGGGCTAGGGCCAGGGTGCAGGGGGTGATGGGCCAAATTAATGGGGGTGGGGGGGCGGGTGAAGGTGGGATGGGCACCCTGGAGTTTCTGGCCCAGACTAGATAGGAGGCTTCCACCCCCGCTAGGGGTCAGTGCCCCTCCTGCTCTCAGATCCTCTACATCAGGCCCCTGCCTGGGCTTAGGAACGGGCCAAGCGCAGGGGTGGGTAGGGGCGGGAGGACACCAGAGACTACAGGACGTGTCTCTGCTCTCAGAGAGCTGGTTTTCTGGCTGAGAAACTGATGGAGATGGGCCGAGTGCCCAGGGCTACGAGGAAGAAAACTCGGGCCCTGCGGGAGTCAGCCCAGCGAGGGTCCAATCCTCCCTCTGCTACGTGCTAGTTTTGGGGCTTCGGGAAACGTCTTGACCTCTCTGGGCTTCCGTCTCCTCATCCGTAGATGGGTGGGATGATGGTCATCTCTGGCTTGCTGAGAGGAATAATGATATATAAAAAAGTGGCGCATGTTAGGTCCACAACACATAATAGCAGTTAATAAAATGTAGTCTTGGGTGTACAAGACCAATGACCACATGGGGTGGGGGACC